ATGTGTTCACAATATTCCATAAAGAAGAAATTCCAAAGGTGTTATTGACGAAAGAGCTATTTATGCAAAAAGATTCACAAATAATTTTTTGAGTAATACTATAACATTTTTTACTGATGAAGTAGGTTTTAGTATTTTAATGTAAACTAAAAAAGGAAACCCTTTAGCTGTTAAGAGTGGCACACAAGCTGTGACCAATAAACGATCAAGAATCGTTTCCATCTGTTGCGCAATGAACTAAAATAGAACTTTAAAGTATGAAGCACAAACAAGAGCATTTGATACAAAAAATTATTTGTTTTTTACTCACCTAGTATTAGCACAATTAGCTGTTAATGAAGTTGTTGAAGGTATTTAAATTAGGATAATGTAAGTTTTCATAAAGCTGTTGTTGTTTAAGATAAAATAGCACGTTCTGGGCATTCTTTGATGTTTTCACCCGCATATAACGTGTTATAACATTAAGAACGGTAATGACTTTGAAGACAAAGTTATGTAACATACTTTATATTCATTATGGTTGCAATCTTACCTAGTTTGTTGTATTTTTAATTCTCTACAACTTCTATTTGAAAAACCGATCTAAAGGGAAAAGTTTACAGTTGATCACTTTTTTGCTAAAAAAATTCCTATTAACACCATCTATCATATTATTCGACACGCTGAAAATAAATATGGGCACAAGAGAGAATAGACCTGGTAGGATTGCTAAATAAATGACAAAATAGAAAATCGATATCTTAAAACAATGATTGACCACAAAGACGGCATATCGCAACACAAACAGCTCGGAAATTTAAGTGCACCCAAGTATATATCAGCAAAACATAACATAGTATTATATATATCAGCAAAACATAACATAGTATTAACCTAATAAAATGTTAAGTAAATGTTTTCAATTTAATTTCATGTAAATTTATAATTAGTAATTATAATTTAGTTTTAGAGTGCACGGTTGTTTTAATTAGTATGGTTTTTGCCAAAATACCAGTAAATAAACACCAGAAATATATATTTATATATATACATTTTTAAAGTTGTTTAAACACATATTTATATATATATATATATATATATATATATATATATATATATATATATATATATATATATATATATATATATATATATATATATATATATATATATATATATATATATATATATATATATATATATATATATATATATATATATATATATATATTGTAAGATGTTCAAATGAAGTAAGAAACCTTTAACAGAGTACTAACTCTGCGGTAGTGGTGTAGTGGTAGAGCGCTCGCTTCATAAACGAGTGGTTCCGAGTTCGATCCCCACCACGTCCCTGGTAGTACCGCGCTCAACTCATTTTTCCGCGCAGCGGCATTGTCCGTCAAGTTTCGTGTTTCGGAGTGATAGAGTTGAAAGAGGGTTATAACCACAAATAAGTAGCCTCCTCGTCTGTAGTGGCTTTCTTGGCCTTGAGGAGGTGAATTAAATTAAAAAAAAAAAAAAAAAAAAAAAAAAAACTCTACTAATTCAGTTAGAGGTTTCTAGTACTACTAGAGGTACTAATAAGTAAGAATACTAGTCTTTCTGGAAAATTTATATGATATTGAACATGACTTATAAACATCTGGTGATGATCAAGAAGTTGTCGAAAGTGATCTGCAAATTGACAGTAAAGAAAGTTATGATAGTAGGGATGAAGCAAAGGAATCAACACAAAGACTCAAACCAGATAAAGATACTTTACAACTTCGTAAAAGTAACACCACACAATGTACTTTAATGTCACAAAAAATTAAAAGAAGAATGGTTAAAAAAAGATTCTTATAATGGACAATTAAAAACTTGGGTTTAAAGTAATTATTGTCTGATAACTTTTTATCTGAACTGACAACTCATTATAATTTTTTCAAGTACTTTTTTAATGATAATTTTATAGAATTTAATTTGTTAACAAACTAACTAGTATACTTCTTCAGCTTTTGATGTTACAGACTTAAAAATATTTATTAACATTTTACAGTATATGTGAGTGGTCTCAAAACCAAGAACTCAATGCTTATGGGCTCCTGAAATTGGTATAAAATATATCATAACAACAATGTGCATAAATAAATCTTAAAATTTGAAAGTCTTTATTTCAATGACAACGAATTCTTGAAAAATCACATTATTTATATGATAAATTATATAAAACCAAACCACCTAAAATTCGTATTATTTTAGTTGTGCAAATCCATTGCAGCAGCTAGCGAAGGGATTACATTGAAATATGCACTAAATTAATTTTAAATTATCAGTGCTTAAAAAACAAAAATTATCTTAATTTTTGTTTTTTAAGCTCAAAAGCTTATAACTTTTTTGTAACTAGGGTTCAAAATAGTAGTTGTCTTTTGACAACTTTGTAGAAGTAGTTAAGGTTCATTGATATACGGAGCACATAGTCACAGCAGGTGTTACATAAAGCAACGCTCAGTTAATGAGTGATTCACACATAAAACATTAGATGTCAGTTGGTAACAATAGGTGGCACAGTTGCAACAGAGTTCAGTTATTGATACCAAGTGAACTAGCAAAGACGTGTTTCATATGCTTTAAACTGAAATTTTTGTGTCTTCTTTAAGTGTGTTTTATCGAGCAAACTTAGTGTTGATAATTGTGTATAAGTTATAACTTATATATTGAGTCTCTAAACAATTGTTTTAATTGCTTTGCCATTTTGGTGGCCCGAATTCAAAATCAAAGATTTGATTTTAAATAAATTTTTGAAATATAGTTTTTGATTAACTTAAGAGAGCCTAAATTCAATTTTACAAATTAGCAAATTTAGCCACACAAAAAAAAAAAAAAATACACACACAAAAAAAAGATTCTCCAAAACACTGCACTAAAGAATTTGTGTTTAAAAAAAAATGTAAATGAAAAAAAAGTAAATACAAGATTTTATGACCTGAGAATAACGGGCTTTGGCGCAGACAAAACCTTTTTACAATAATTTCTAGCAATAGTAAACAGACGTCTATTTTCTTAATAATTGTTTTGGAGGTTATGGTTACGATTGGAAATTGCAGCAAATGGTGGACTTATCGCCTTCAGAGTGACTGACACTAGAGCCAAGTTATTCAGTGCGGCGAGTATTAAAGTCACCACCAACAACGATATTAACTAAAAGATGAAGAGAAAGGTGCTGGTTAATTTGATTAGAAATAACAACAAAAAGAGTGCAGCATAAGATGAAGGACAGCAATATAGAACAAAGAGAAAAATGGTACAGTAAAGTGGTACTAAACGAACGCATACAAAAGAATAGTCTGTTTTAAACCTTGCTTCCCGACAAATAGGTGAACTTTTACGAATGTTAATGCCCAGACCAACCATGTGGCTATTTGAGTCTTTACGAATTAAAGGAAGATAACCAACACTAAGATCACATGATGAGACAGCTAAACTTAAATTAGTCTCTCAAAAAGCAAGTAAGTCTGGTGAACTTTGCAAGAGATAGGGCTCAACAGAAGAAAAACAAACTGAAATTGAAAAAACCGCATCGCAACTACCTAACTACTAGTAGTTAGGTAGTTGCGATAGTAACTACTATCGCAACTAACTAAATAACTAAGAAATAACACAATCGAAGTTTACCTAATAATTACATTGCGGTAACGCGAGTGAATAATTTAAACCAATCAGAAATTTTCTTTATAATTTCTTTCTAATAATGATACTCATAAAATTTTTTCTATGGCGAATGAAGAATTTAAAAAAATATCTAATTGGTTTAAATATAATAAATTAACTTTAAATATTAATAAAACAAAATGGGTTTTTTTTCGTTCTCTCATAAAAAACGGTATCTACCCGCAAACTTACCGCGTAACTTAATTGACCAAATTGAAATCAAAAAAGATTCAGTTACAAAATTTTTGGAAATTTTTCTTGATGAAAACAATACATGAAAACACCATATTGATTTCATCTGCGCTAAAATTTTAAATAATATTGCAGTTCTTTATAAGGCCAGAACTTATCTAAACAAAAAGTGCTTGACTATATTACTCATTCATAGTTATATAAATTATGCATATATATATATATATATATATATATATATATATATATATATATATATATATATATATACATATATATATATATATATATATATATATATATATATATATATATATATATATATATATATATATATATATATATATATATATATATATATATATATATATATATATATATATATAATATTGTCTGGGTAAGTACTGAGAAAAATAAGTTACAACTTCTTAATCGCCTCCAGAAACGTGCTCTTTGTGTGATTAAATAAAAATAAAAAATGATTTTGTGTTAAAAAATAAAAAATGATTTTGTGAATCATTTTTTATTTTTTAACTTTTTTTCTTATCAAGACTAAAATATTCAATATATATGAACAGAATATATTTATTATATAATGTTTTGTTTAAATGTGGAGAAGTAATTTATCCCATTTCTTTACCATTAAAATTTTCTTTACTTTTAAATCTGGAAATAAATATGCACTAAACTTACAACAACTTTACGAACTTTTTTGGAGAACTAAATTTAATCTTTGTATTGAATACCGTGTTCACTTCTTAGCTTGCTTTTAAAACTAACCTAAAATATTTTGTCCTTTCTGATAATATATTCAAATTTTACTAATATTTATCAACTTTAATTTTTTGATATTTGTAACAAACAAAATTTTAACACATACAGCTAACTTTTTATATAAATATATGTTTACTTTATAAGGTTCCGATGATAAGATCGTTTATGACCTTCCTTCGGAAACCTAGCTTATACTGTTATGTCTTTATTATATTTTATTACAAAAAATATTGTACACGAATAAAATTATAAACTGAAAAATAATACAAAAATAATAAAAATATTTTTATAAATTTATTCAAAAAAAATATATATATTTGTACTATATACGTAAAACTAAAAATTTAAACAATATATAAATTATATAGTTGGAATATGTACATAATATTAAACACAATGTAAATTTTATCACAAAATTGTAAAAAAATAACGCCAGCGTCAAGAAAATAAGCATTAAAACAAAATTTACAAAATAGGTTCGTAATTACAAATTTATTTCACTTTATGATGGTAACGTTTTGCGCTTGATCTTGGTTCGGCAAATAAGGTCTCTTTCCTCCACTAACATCGCACGACAACGAAACGCAGGACTTTGATTTGTATGCAATTCATCTTCAGGTGTGAGATGCATAAAATCATTATCGCTCCTTTCGCTTAAACCTTTATCTAACTTTTTGTTATTTAGTGTTGGCAGAGAATCAGAGTATTCAGGTATAGTAACAAGATCCGACGGATTTGTGTTTGAATATCCTGGAAATAATCTTACTTTCTGAAAAGACAATAACCTACTAACTGAGTCTTCTGGAAATTTTCTGCGAATGCTGTTAAGGAGTTCTTTATGAGAACGTTTACGTGCACAAAATCCACTGATTGGTGAGCTTTCTATATCGTTCTAAACCCACAATATACTAAACTTAAGTAATTAAAACGCAAAATTAATTTAAAAAAAAGAACAATTTTTTTATGCAACTTGAAAAGCACCATTTTAGGCTGTTTCGTGAAAAAATAATAAAAGTAAATATTTTCTACTTGATAATCATCTAAATAGTTATGGATGTAATGTAAACTTATATTTAACCAGGTTATCCAAAAAAAACAAATGTTTGTATATCTAAATGTAATGTAAACTTATATTAAAGCAGATTATCCAAAAAAAATCGTCTCTATATCTGAATGTTATTTAAACTTACACTTAAACAGATTATACGTGAAACTATACAACTATTGTAAATATGTAAAAAAATAAAAAAAATAAAAGTTAATTTAAAAATTAAATAATAAAAAGTTAAGATTTTAAAAATCTTGTTAATATTGAAAAATCTAATACTAGTACTAGTATAAAATTTAATCAAGTAAAGTCTACCAGTAAGATGCCAGTCATTTGTTTATCAGTTCTATCAACATTATCAGCAACCTCATTATAAAATGGTTATTGGCTTCACAATGTCCAAAACAATCGTATCATAAAGCAAGGGGTTGTCCATTATTTTTTAACAAACCGTTTTTATACTTTTTATTATTTCACATTTGATTTTTTTTACAATGCAACTAATTTTGTAAAGATATAAAATTATCTACAGCTGGTGTCTCGATTTCTATTTTTGAAAAAATAAGCAGATATGGTGTCCATAAAAATACTCATCTTGTGTAAAATATAAACTTTATCTAGCTTCTTTTGGTTTCAAATACAAAAAAAAAAAAAAAATTCTTTGTTGACATTTATGAAATCTTTTATCGCCTAAATGGGTATAGTTGTAAACACGTGTCACAGAGAGAGGATCATACGCACAACCTGCTGTTGCTGTGGCAACCTGCTGTTGCCAAGATTGAAAAACTTTTTTTGATGTAAAATTAGTGTTTTTTCGAAACAATTTTGGAAATAAACTAAAAAAATCAATGAAATGCATTACTGTTTATTGATATTCTATTGGTTTTTTTAAAATTAGATATTGATTAAAATTAAATAGGTTTGAAAGATTTGTTACACTTGTTGGCCAAAATGAGTTCATTTCTCATATTTCGAATTCATCCACATTGGTAGTCTCAAAACCGTAATTTCAACAAAATATTTACTATTCTGATTAACTTTTAAACTGAAAAGTGTTAGCCACAAAACTTTTTATTAAAAACCATGGCGGATGTAGACCATTATGCATACAAAACAAACTCGATCTAGGTAACAAATGTAACACTTCTTGCACTCCTGTTTTTCAATTATTTTTAAATCATACTTATTCTATCAATATTTTGGGGTTTGTTTTTCAATTTTACTACAGTTGTAATTGTATGTGATAATATCAAAAATTAATTTGAATAATAGAATAATGCAAGTCGAAGCACAACCTGGAAATATAAATAGATATTTTATTCTCGATTTCAATGTCAAAAAGTTCTACAGCAGAAGACTACCATCAAATCATGATACCTTATGTGTCTGAAACTAATACAATAAGAGATATCATTCTTATTTTAACACAAAATTCTCGTGGGAATTCAGTATCATCGGTTGCTTTCAGATTTTAAGAAATCATAAGTAGGTCAAATATAATAAAAGCCCAGCCCAAATAAAAAAAGAAGGCAAGTAATTTACCTAGATGCTCTTTTTGATATGTCCTATGCTGATGCATTAAAAATTCTTAAATGTTTGTCAAAAAAAAAAGAGCAGTTTAATGAAAGCAAAAGATAAAGTTAAAAAAATCGTAAAATAAAATAAATAGCCAAAGCAAAATGCTAAGAACCAACTTCAATAAGATTTCCATTTGTAAGATAAAAAAGAAAAGCAGCACTTATTCTGGCAGAAACTGATAGAAGCCTTGGTCATGATTTTAATACTCTCGCCATCAATAGGATGACTATCTTCCATATGGAAAAGTGATCTTTCTCTAAAATATTCAAATCAAGCTTAATAAAAATTTGCCTTTCACTGTTCACTGGAATAGAAAATTTTGAAAACTTTAACCTCAAAAAATCAAATAAATTGTCTTTGAGCAATCACCATGACCCAGTTAAGAAAAAATCTTTTAAGTGTACAAAACGTGTATTTTGTATTAGTCATCAATAACAAAAATAATGGCAGAGGGCTAAAGAGAAAAGAATTAGTCAATTTAATCATAAATTACATCTAAAAGAGTGTACTTTTCAGAAGAAGGAGTGCAATAAAGTACTAAGAGAAATGTAATAGAGTGAAAAGGTGCTAAACAAAAGCGCATAAAAAACGGTCAGATGATTCATACCTAATTTCTCAACAAATAGGTGAATTGATGAAAAAGTATACACTTGATCCAACCTTAGGTGTATACTTAGGTGTATACTTACTTATGCTCAGATTTTAGCATTTACAGGCACTGTTCAAAAAAGATCGTGCCAAATAAGAAAGAGCCGAACTTAAATTAGTCTCATAGAAAGCAAGAAGATCTGAATTTAAGTTAGTCTCATAGAGAACAAGAAGATCTAAATTTAAGTTAGTCTCATAGAAAGCAAGAAGATCTGAACTTAAATTAGTCTCATATAGAGCAAGAAGTTCTGAATTTAAGTTAGTCTCATAGAGAGCAAGAAGTTCTGAATTTTTCAAGAGATGAAAGATTCAACTGATGGGAATTTACTTTAAAAACCACAGATATTTGAGAAAGATTAATAGAGTTAGATGGTGGTGATGGTTTATTACTTTTGATATTATTGGTTACTTTGGAGATGGATTAGGTAAAAGAAAACTTGACTCATTCCTAGCTAGAGCATAGCATCACAAGCAATGATCTATGCAGTTGTCTCAGTCCTGTTAATTAACCAAAAGTCTTAACTTAAGGTTCCTTATGTAGCTTCACAATTCACACTAAAAGCATTAAAAGTTTTTAGGTTGTAACCTCATTAGAAGATAACAGAAAGAATTATATAGCCACTATCAATGAGGTACAAATAAAAATCTATGAGTAGAATCAAGAAGGTCCAGCTTTCATCACTCTAGGCAGGAAACAATATAACACAGGTTTATTTATATGCCAGCCTAATAGATAAGAGGCAAGGCTAGTCAACAGAATTAATTCTGCTAACTCCTAAAATTTTTGCCTTAAAATCTAACTCAATCTAACAAAATCTCACATCTTACAAAATACTAGAAATTAAGAAGAGCATAAGTTTCATAGTTGGAGTTACTAATACTACTTAGCTAATACATATTCTAGAGCTGTACCATTATTAGGAATACAGCATTAAATTTTTATGAATTAAATATGTATATATATATATATATCAACCCTCGGAATTAGGAAAAATCTTTTTGAGGTCGACATCAGGTTGGCAAAAATTATTTGATACAAAGGTCTGACCATAAAACATAAAAATGAGGTCAGCAATTTTTTGCCAACCTCAAACACTTTCAGGTTGGCAGATTCGTTAAAGTACATTCTTAAAATATACTTACATTAAAATAATTATTGATAATTATGATAATTATAAAAAAAGATAATTAGAAAAAAAAATTACTTATTAAAAAATTATTTTGTAGGCATAAAAAATAGCTTAGACAGTTAAAATAAATTATAAAAACTTTATACTAGCAAGGTTATGTCTATCTTATGACATGATTGTAACCCTATAACTTAGGTGTATATTTTTAATTTTTCCCTGAATGAATATAATCAGTTTTCCCTGAAATAACATTATCAGTGTGTTAACTTGTGTGACACATTTATTTGATATGATTTTATAATATGTATTTGTTTAATTTATGCATATAATATAATTATAATGATATAATTTTCACACGGTTATAATTTGAGTGTAAAATACTTCAATTGTTTCAAGAGTTTGTATTAAAATCTTAATCTGCACAGTGTTTTTTAGATTTTATTATTTTAGTTTTTAATATTGCAAGAACCAAAAACTAAAAAGTTTTGCGTATGCAGAAATAGTTATATGTAAAATTAGTTTATTGGTTGCATTTTAATCACATTTGTACTTGAGATTTCATTTTTACTAATTTTATTACTGGAAAAATATAAAGAAGTTTTTTTTTAGATGATAATGTTACATGTTTAGCCCTTGATTTTAATATTTTTAAATTAGTAAAAAATGTCAAAGAAATGTTGTGTGGGAAGAATTTTAAATGAAGATTGTGATAAAATGTCATATTGTAAAATGGTAGGAAGAATAAGACTAAAAGATACTGATATTAAAGTTTTAACTCAAAAGATAGGATACACTTTCGAACCAAATGAGGAGATATGTTTTCACCATGAAAAAGCCTATATTTCTAGATATAAAGAACTTCAAAAATACTGTTGTGATCCATTTAAAGTCCACAAGAATAAAATAACATTTCAATAAGTCAACATATCAGTAGCAAATCAATTTACAATTAAACTTGGTCAAAAAGTTTGTACTAACTGTATGAATGAATTCAAACTGGAAAAAATTACAGAAGTTAATCAAGATAAAGCTGCTGAAGAAAATTTTAGCTGTTCAGATCGGTTTTTTGATTGGTTTTTTGTTTTATAAGTTTTTGTCTGGTAATGTATATCTTAGTTCATATTGGTGTTTATAAAACAATTTTTTTATTTTTTATTTATTTATTTTTATTGTTTTTATTGTTGTGGGTGTATAGCCTGTCTTATTTTTTTTAAAATATTACTCTATTAATCTTTATTTTTGTCTTGACAACTGTCAAAATATGCTTCCCTCAGGCGTTCACTGCTCGTGTGTGACCATTCAGCAAATTTTATATGCCAAAGTTTTTAATTAATGATTTAGACAAAATGTTAGATGCAATAAAAGATAAAATGAAAATAAGTTTGTTCAAGTTAAAACAAGGTTCAACTACTAACACTAACTCCTGATAGTTAGTCAATTGAAAAAACTTGCAAAACATTTTTAGTATTTTAACATCTTGTTAAGAAAGCTCAAAAGTTGAAAAATGAAAAAAGAATACTTGCTAAACCTGAGGCTAAAATAGGACAGCCTTTGGAAGATATTTTTAAACAAAATGTCATTGAAATTTATAAATCCAAAGAGTTCTAAAAGACAATGTCCAGAAAAAAAAAGTTTCTGTGCATATAAATAATGTAAAAGTTCATAAACAAAAATATTTAAAATGTTCATAAATATAAATATATCAGTTCAATTTAAGGAACTTCATCTTGAGTTTAAAAAGTTATACCCTAAACACAAAGTTGGATTCAGCATGTTCTGTGAACTAAGGCCAAAGTGGGGCATCACAATTGACAGTAGTGGAAGTCACTCAGTGTATGCGTATGTTCTTACCATCAAAATGCTAAGTTGATGTGCCCTGCTTTACCTAAGGGCCATTTAAAATATCTCAAAGATTTGATGAAAGTATGTATTTGTAATATAGATAGTTGAAGCTGCATGTTTCATCTATATTTTGACTGTCCTGGTAAAAAGAATTTTGAAGACATACTTGAAAAATGTGTTTGAAAATAATGATTTTGATTTTAACGATCAGATCACATACAAAAATGGATGTTAACTGACTGAACTGCACTTGTCACAATTCAAACAAGTATTGAGTTTATTTAAATTCTAAGTAAAACTTTGTATGACCTTTGTCTAAACCAATTTATCGAAGAAGCACAATCCTCCTACTTATCAAAGGTAAAAAGAACATTAGATCAACACACTTGTCTTATTCTTATGGATTTTGCAGAGAACTATAGTTATACAGCAAGGTACAAGGGTTTTAATGGCAAGACGATCAAGCTACCTTACATCCATTTGATGTTTATTACAAAGATGAAAAAATCAACTCAAATGTGAATGCTATTGTAAAATTTCTGACCATCTTCGCGATGACCAAACAACAGTTCATCATTTTCTCACAAAATTACTCACATTATCAAAATCAAATTACCCACACTCAATAAAGTAAAATACTTCAGTGATTGTGCTGTGTCACAGAACAAAAATTAAAAAAACCTGTTAATGTACCATCTTGAAGATAACAATATAAATGCTGAGCATCACTTCTTTGCCACATCCCATGCTACATCACTAACTTTTAACACATAATTATAATTTTTTCCACAAGTGATTACACAAAAAAAGAAAAAAAATTGGTGCTGCCTGTCTATAGGTATTAAACTGCAGCACATAAAAGTTTCCAAAAATTTTCCTATTATTGCATTTTATAGCAACTTTAGGGTAAAATAACTCATAAATTTCTTAAAGCCAATCAAAATTACCTACGAAAACACCTTCAAAATTGAATTATTTGGGTTAAAAACTATTAACATACAAAATTTCAGGTGATCACCTTTTTTATTTACAAAGTTATGCTCTGTCAAAAATCAAAAAAATCTACTGTAAGCTCCAGGTACTTTTTGTCAATATTAAATCAATCATAACTTTTGAACGGTTTGGTCAATCAAGCTGAAATTTTGAGGTTCATATTTTTTTTCATAAATACTGTGGGTGGGCAAAATTAAGTAAATTTGAGGTGGTACCCTAGGGACCATTAGGTAATTTGATATGGAATGACCCAATACATAATCAAAAGCTTAATTAAGTATAAATAATGCTAACATTTATATCTAAATAAAAAGTTGCCTTTAAAATTGCCTCAGATATATAAGAAATGGGAATGAAAATGTCATCATTTAGAAATAAAACCATAGCTTTTACTAATGAAAATAAACACTTAAAAAACACTTTTTTTCAAATCCAAGGTCTTTTTATTAAAATTAAATGGATTACTATTAAAGGTTTGTGTATTATATTAAATTTATTAATATTTATAATTAAAAAATTGCTCATTTTTAATATGTAAACAGATTAAGTTGTCCGGAACCACCTTCAAAATATGCGCCTGATACCGTCCGATCATACCACATTCACAAAGTTTTAAAACCGGTGAATTTAAGTATTAAAAAATTTTTTTTTTTACAAATAAAAAAGTAAATAAAAATGTATCTTTAATCAATAAATTAGTTTACATAAAAATTAAGTATATTAATATCTGAATCAATTATGATGATACATTGCTCTTCTGGTAAAGACCTCATGCTTTTCCATGGTTTTCCTCTGATTGTGCTGCAAGAATTTCCAATCATAATTATTATTTTCATATCTACTACCAAAACAATTCTCCAGAAAACCTTTTTCTATTTACTATTGCTAAAAACCATTGTAAAAAAGTTTTGTCTAATGCCAAAAGGACTATTCTTAGGTCACAAAATTTAGTGTTATATTAGCAGCTGTGGCACAGTGTTTAGAGTTCTGGCTCAGAACCCAGAGGTCCGAGGTTTGACGGCAGCTCTAGTCTAACAAGCAACATTGGTATGGAAGGAGGTGTGAACTTCTTATTAAATGCTCTCACGGTGCTCTGTGATAAGACCATATGGACTTCTGGGAGCACCTATATAAACTACAAAAAATAAAAAATAAATAAACTAAACAAAAATTAAGCTCCAGAGACTTATGGAGAATATTTAAATGTCTAACATGAAGGCAAATCTGTAATTCCACCTCTCTTTTCAAAATGAAAGTGATTTCCAAGTGATTCCAAGTGAATCTTCATTCTTCTCCTTGGTTTACCTTGCATTGTGCTGCTGCAATTTCAAATCAAAACCATTACTTCCATATTTATCAGCAAAACAATTATCCAGAAAACAGATGTCTGTTTACTATTGCTAAAAACCATTGTAAAAAGGTTTTATCTTGCTATTCTCGGGTCATGAAATCTCGTATTTCATCTCAAAAATTAGGTTTTTGTGACTTCTGGAGAATCTTTAACAGTATCAATACTGAGGGCAAATCTATTATTCCACCTCTCTTGTATGGTTTAGATTTTTTTACCTCACCTAAAGACGAAGCTGAATAGTTTGCTAAGAACTTGTTATCAATATTATTTCTTATTTCCCTTTATCACATCTTACCTGATATAGTCTACAAACAGGTTGATCCATTGCTTGATGTACATACACTTCAGCTTCTATATCTAAAGTAATTTCCTGCTTAGACACTTTTACAGGTTGTGGTCCAGACAACATGCCTGTTATAGTCACGCAGAAGTGTTCTCCGGAATTCTGGAGAGCGATTTGACTTGTCTAAATACTGCCCCATTAGTCACTTTACTATCATAAGCAAAATTTTTGAGTCTTTAATTGACAAACATTTAATCTTTCATCTTGAATCTAATAACTTACTTTAATATGGATTTTGGTCTTCTCATTTTACTGGTGATTTATTAATGATAATAACTGATAGATTTTATCGGGCATTAAATAGATGTGAAGAGGTTATTGCTCTTTACATTTCCAAAGCCTAAGATAAGTATAGTTAAAGATAAAGTTTAGCATGCTGATCTTTTACAGAAAGACTTTTAGCATGAAGATAAAGTTTAGCATGCTGATCTTTTACAGAAGCTCACTTTGTACAGCGTATCAGGTAACATCTTTAAGATTATTGAATCCTTCCTTACCAATCGTAGTACAAAAGTTGTCCTCAATGGACAACACTCTTCTTTATATCCTGTAACTTAAGGGGTTCCTCAACTTAAAATATAAACGAATGTGAAACCTAATAAAATTTTATAAAACACAATATGCATAGTTACTGTGGTCACAAAATCAAACAATATAATATAAAATAAGCATAAAATTAAAGTTTAATTTTAAGTTAAAATATCATTAAATAATTTTTACATAGCAATAAATAGACAAAAAATATAGCTAAAATATAGTATAATTTTTTCAAATTGTTCAAAAGGTCAGTGTTTAAAACTTATCAAAGGTTATTTTATATAAGGCATACTACTTTTTAGAATAGCTAATAAAAATGCTTTTTGTTTTCATTTTTACGATTTTTAATGTGTTTTGGTCTATAAACAGGTTACTTATTTTACCTCTCTATATATATTCTGATTGTACACAGTACTTTTATCACCAAATATAAATAATAACAATTACAAAAAACAGAAATTAAATAATATTGTTTATTTCAAAAGCTATTTACAAATAACCTTTTTGTCTTTATTCTTGCTTTCAAATGCAGAAAATTGGTTTGTTTTAGACACTAATTTTAGTGAATTTTTTGCTTCGTTGAGTTCTTTGACAGTTTGTTGTAAAGTATTTTTAACTGATTCTAATTCAATCGCAATTTTTCTATAACAAAATTTTACTTAGGTAAAAAATATAAATCTTTTAATTTAATTTTATATTATTAATTTTAATTATTTTTTTATCATTTAATATATTATTTGAACTATTATTATATTTTTCAAAAATAAATACTTGCATGTAACACAGTAACTTCTTGCATGTGACACAGTGTAACTTGTTTTTTTTAATAAGTAAGCAACTAAATCTCTTTAATTAAAAACAACAAACATCTTTTATATTTTTTTATATTATTATTATTATCATTATTATATTTTATTACATTATTTTTTAATTATTTTTTATATTTTTAAATTATTATTATTATTTACATTATTGTTATATCAATTATTATATTATTAAAGCTATTATTATCATTTAAAAATATATACTATCTTAAATGAATCACAGTGTAATAGTTCTTATTAAATAAGAAACTAATAACTAAAATCTCTTTATTTAAAAACACCAAACATCATATTAAATATGTTGTCATGAATGTTGTCACCAAAAATCAATTAAATATGTTGTCATGAATGTTGTCACCAAACATCAATTAAATATGTTGTCATGAATGTTGTCACCAAACATCATATTAAATATGTTGTCATGAATGTTGTCACCAAACATCATATTAAATATGTTGTCATGAATGTTGTCACCAAACATCATATTAAATATGTTGTCATGAATGTTGTCACCAAACATCAATTAAATATGTTGTCATGAATGTTGTCACCAAATATCATATTAAATATGTTGTCATGAATGTTGTCACCAAACATCAATTAAATATGTTGTCATGAATGTTGTCACCAAACATCAATTAAATATGTTGTCATGAATGTTGTCACCAAACATCATATTAAATATGTTGTCATGAATGTTGTCACCAAATATCATATTAAATATGTTGTCATGAATGTTGTCACCAAACATCAATTAAATATGTTGTCATGAATGTTGTCACCAAACATCATATTAAATATGTTGTCATGAATGTTGTCACTAAACATCATATTAGATATGTTGTCATAAATGTTGTCAACAAACATCATATTAAATATGTTGTCATGAATGTTGTCACCAAATATCATATTAAATATGTTGTCATGAATGTTGTCACCAAACATCAATTAAATATGTTGTCATGAATGTTGTCACCAAACATCATATTAAATATGTTGTCATGAATGTTGTCACCAAACATCATATTAAATATGTTGTCATGAATGTTGTCACCAAACATCAATTAAATATGTTGTCATGAATGTTGTCACCAAACATCATATTAAATATGTTGTCATGAATGTTGTCACCAAACATCATATTAAATATGTTGTCATGAATGTTGTCACCAAACATCATATTAAATGTGTTGTCATGAGTTAAAGGTTTATATTAACATATTTAACCGTATGTTTTAAACTCAAAACTGCAAACCTATAATTTTTTTCAAGAGCCTCATTGATAAGAATCTGTTTCTGAAGTCCTTCATCTGATTTTTGTTTTGAATCTGTAATGGCATCATACAATTTATCTTTTTCTTCCAATAATTTTTCACAATCAAATTTTTGTGCAGCTTGCATATCTTGGTACATTTTAACTTCTGCTTCCAATCTTGCATTTTGGTCTTTTAAAAATGTGTAATTCCATTCCATTTCTAGAATTCATATGTCAAATGTTGTATGAATGTTCTAGAAATTTCCATTTCTAGAATTCATACAACTATGATCACAAGTGTAAATATACAAATATAGAATTATAAACATGTAAATATAGAATTATAAACATGTAAATATAGAATTATAAACATGTAAATATAGAATTATAAACATTTAAAACATATAAATATAGCATTCAGATTTTCAATTTGACTGGTAAATTATGAAAAACTCATCTCCTTTAAATAAAGTTCTGAATGGTAATGATGATATAATTTTTCAACTTATTAAAAATATCATTGAATCAACAATCATCTGTAAAACACCTGTATCCTGGCCACACATCTGCATCTTGGCAGCTTGATCACCAGATTTGATCTATTTGGGGTTGGATGAACAATTTATTTGGGGTTGGGTCAACAATCTGTTTGGGGTTGGATAAACAAAAAACTATTATGATAATTAGGTCAGAATAAAATCCATAAATCTAAAAGTCTAAAAGTCTAAAGTCTAAAGAAAGAAATAGATATCATTTGGAGAAGAGTTTCAATGAAAAACTTTTATAACTTTGTTAAACCAATGTAAAAAAGTTGCGTAGCTTGCAAAAAAACACCTGGGTATATTTTTAATACTAAATTTTTTTTTTTTAATTATTTTTTTCCGATTTTGATGTGGCACAATGTTTTTATTGATAATTTTGATATTATGAGATTATCTACAATTTTATGCTTTAGTATGCAAGATTTGTTTAAAAAAAGTTTTTCTCTCAAATTAAAAAATTAGTTCCATATCTTCAATAATTTCTTTAGTTTTTATTTCATGAAACCATAAACAAGCTTTTTAATTTTTATAAAACTTAAAAATAATTTTCATAACTTAAAAATATTTTTTATAAAACTTAAAAATCATTGATTTATTAAAATTATCTTTTAATAAAAAATTAAACAAATAAATAAAAATAACTGTTATTTTTTATAACAAAAATAATTTATTATTATATAAAGAAACTGTAACAACAAACCTTTGGAGCGTAATTTGCTTTGCTCATTTTCTAAAGTCATGTTCTTAAAATCACAACTTATCTGTTTGATAAAGCTTTTTAAATCTGAATTTTCTTTCAAAACCATTTTATATTTGGTGTTTAACATGTCACTGTATTTGACAAACTCATCAAACTCTCCTTTTAATGTTTCTAACTCTTCTGCAGTTCTCCGAAATTTAAGTTGGTTCTCTTTGATTTCCTCAGCCGAAGATGAATTTGCATTAAAGTTATGTTCACTGTATATTTTCATAATTTTTCGATGAACACTAAACTTTAACTTTATTTCATCAGCCTGAAAAATAATTTATTATTTACATTTTTTAAATATGAAAAGTATAGACAAAAATCGAAATAAAATTTTTTACTTGCAATTTAAACATTTGTTATCATTTTTCTCAGGATTTATTGCTTGCAAGAAATAAGTAAAAAGGTTAAAAACACTTGATTATTTATTGCTTATAAAATTAATGTTTACATTTTCTACCTTTGGTTAAATCCATTACAAAAGCTAAGCAAATAATAAAAACAGTTCACCTGGAAAAAATTTTACAAGAAAACTTAATAAAGTAATATTAGTAACAAAGTAGTATAAGAACTTAATATACAATAAGAACTAGTATAACAAGTAGTATGTACAAAGTATATATAAAGTATATACAAATAATATATATAAAGTAGTATATATAAAGTATATACAAGTTGTATATACAAGTAGTATATACAAAGTATATACAAGTTGTATATACAAATAGTATATACAAGTAGTATATATAAAGTATATACAAGTTGTATATACAAATAGTATATACAAGTAGTATATATAAAGTATATACAAGTTGTATATACAAATAGTATATACAAGTAGTATATATAAAGTATATACAAGTTGTATATACAAATAGTATATACAAGTAGTATATATAAAGTATATACAAGTTGTATATACAAATAGTATATACAAGTAGTATATATAAAGTATATACAAGTTGTATATACAAGTAGTATATATAAAGTATATACAAGTTGTATATACAAATAGTATATACAAGTAGTATATATAAAGTATATACAAGTTGTATATACAAATAGTATATACAAGTAGTATATATAAAGTATATACAAGTTGTATATACAAGTAGTATATATAAAGTATATACAAGTTGTATATACAAATAGTATATACAAGTAGTATATATAAAGTATATACAAGTTGTATATACAACTAGTATATATAAAGTATATACAAGTTGTATATACAAATAGTATATACAAATAGTATATATAAAGTATATACAAGTTGTATATACAAATAGTATATATAAAGAGTATACACAAGTAGTATATATAAAGTATATACAAGTTGTATATACAAGTTGTATATACAAATAGTATATACAAGTAGTATATATAAAGTATATACAAGTTGTATACACAAATAGTATATACAAATATATATATATATATATATAAGTATATATATATATATATATATATATATATATATATATATATATATATATATATATATATATATATATATATATATATATATATATATATATACATATATATACATATATATATATATATATTTGTTATGTTTTGCACTAATGCAAAGGTGATCATCATCTCAGGCTTATTCGCTTCTTTTGAAACAAACTTCTTTACCATCACTATTGAAAAAGTTAGTATTGAAGAGATTACTGAAGGTAATTTCTACAAAGTAACAACTGTTTTTATCAATCCCTTATGTAATTAAAGCTATAATTGGTTGAAAAGTGGCAAAATTTGCAATACAGATATTGTTTCACAACTCAGACTTCTAAAGCACTAATCTTAACATTGTAAAGTTCTTCTAGTTTAATAAAAGTTTATTTAAAAGTTTCAATTATTTTCTTACCTCTCATTTCCAAAGTGATCCATTTGAAGGACATTTATCAAAGTACCGTCAAATGAGGTGGCAGATTTCTTGTTAGGCTGTGTAAAGTAAATACCTCTGAGAATATTTTGCAAATGAGATCAATATTAAAAGAAAATTTTGACTTTTGGAAAATGTATTTAAAACCTTTTAACTCAGTTGTGAATCTAAATTCTTTTTATTAATGATATTCAGAATGTGAGTTAGATGAAAACAGTAAACAAGTTCCTATTTTTATTACTGGTATATTGCTGATATATATTCAGGAAATTACTTAAAAAAGTTAAATGAAAATTACATTCTTTGCTGCTAAAAAGTGATATCATTGATGTAAATACAAAGTTTATTGAAATCTATCAAGAGGAAGTTTCATAACTCCCTCAAAATTACTGGCAAATCATATTATTAATTGTTTTGCTATGCTTGATGCAGTGAAAAAAAGTTTGCTTAGTTCAAATGTATTTGATATTAGAAAAATTTCCAAATATATTTTATATGAGTATAATTTAAATCAATGCTTTGTTGTGAGGATCATATAGAATGGGGTTTTTCTCTTGTTAATTGAACAATAATAAATATTTGTTTTAACAATGAACAAATAATTTTAAGTCACGGAAAGCATAAAGATGCTGTATTATCTTTTATAGTTATATATTATATTTTAATACTCTTTGTTAGCAATAAGAAAATATATTTTAATTGAAATGCAAATTTCAGTTTTACAAATTTTACAAAAAATACAAATTTTTAAAAATAAAATCAATCTAAAAATTTTAAATCAGTAAAAACTAATAAACTTTTAACTTGAAAATGTTGGGAAAAATAGAATTTTACTATATAAACCTTTTTAAACTAAAAACCCGAAAATTTATAATATTGAAAAACTGGCCTTCTAATTTTCGGCCTATTTATGCAAAATATCCAACCATGTATTAAGTAGGCCATGAAATAGTATATATAAATAGTATATACAAATAGTATATAAAAATAGTATATACAAGTAGTGTATACAAATAGTATATACAAGTAGTATATGCAAATAGTATATACAAGTAATATATACAAAGTAGTATAAGAAGTAATAGTATTATAACTTTTTTTGTTTTCCATTTTTAAAATTCAAAACTTATTTTATTTTATTAGACTATTATGTCATGGCAATATCTTTGTTTTAGGTTATTATGTCATTACAATATTATACTATTAGCCTATTATGTTATAACAATGTTATATTATTGGGCTAATATGTCAAGTAAACAGAAAATAATATCACTAATCCTTTTTTTATATTCAGTGTGCAAAATCTTGATAACAAAGACTTCACCCAAATTATTCATCCTTTATTCTCTTTGCAATCTTTAGTCATGTATTTTATTCAAACTTGTCTTATTTTCAATTTGCTTGGTTACGAAAAAATATTATCAAAAACTGATAAAAGAAGTTTAATACAGAACTTTACCATTTTTTTAATTTTCTTGTTATCTTCTTTTAAATGAATACATTCATCGTTTTTTTTGCTGATTTCATCTAATAGTTCAACAAGCTTTGATTGTAAGGCGATTGTCATACTATCATGCCTTGCAAGTTTATCATAAAACTTACAGTGAATTTCTTCTTGTTGTAACTTGGAAAGTAACACATTTTTTGTCTCTACAGACTTTGGATTATTTTGATAGTGTACCTAAAACATAATATTCGAAATTAAATATGCAAAAAATAATTTTTAAATATAAAAAACAACATTAAAATAAATATTAAAATGTAATTGAAAAATGTAGTTAATTATATACATTTTTATGTCAAACTTATCATGTGACACATGAATGAATAAAGTTTAAAGAAATAAGCGAAAAGTCAAAGATTGTTTTTAGACACAAATCAAATAAAAAACCATTTTAAAAACCATAATAAAAAAGTTCTTAACTATAGTGGCCTTTATTGGAATGTAATTACAATAAAAAGTTGACTATTTTTACATCACTGCATATATATTCAGTTTACATAACATTACGTGTATACACAATAATATATAAAATGCCTTAAGCAGCAAACAATATTGGCACAATATTTTTTATATAATTTACATACTGTAAGCAATATTGCACCAATATTGTTTGCAGCTCATTTTATTTGGACTCTCTAAAAAGAAAAGTATCTTCACAGAACGAAGACTAATAAATACATTCTCCATTAGAAATATATATAAGCCTTAATTAATTAGTTATTTAGCAACTTATTACTGATAACTAATTAATAGCAAGCAATTAGTTAGTTATCAGTAATTAGTTGTTTGCTTCGCAGATCAAATTAAATAATGACAGGCTAAATTTACAAGACTGTAAACATCAATGGCAAGTTAACAACTCACCTTAAAAAATATTTTTTATGAAATGTATGAAAAACATTTTTCATACATTTGAAAACTGGCAAAGTTATTAAATCAAAAGTTAAAAATAAAACAAATGTAACTAGTCATGTTTGCAAAATACCTTTAGCTTTTCAATATTCTTTTGAAGATCATCAATTTTTAATTGAGCTGTCATTAGGTTTTTTTCAACAATGTTTTTTTCTTCTATAGATCTATTAAGTTGAATAACCATACAGTGGTAATCTTTTATTCTTTGTTCCAGTTGACTTGATAAAATTGCTCTGTCAGAATCAACATATTCTTTTGCAGAAAGACCTTTAACATAACAACATTTTTATTTTTTATTTTTATTAGAATTAAATATTTCAATAATTCTATAAACACAAAAATTGTTAATTAAGAAAATGAAAGTTTTTAAAAAAAAAAATTTCAATTATATTTTCAAATAAAGCATTTAAATATTTTTGTTTGATTTTTAAATTTAGATAATATCTATGTAAACTAATAAATATATTTACAGCTAGAGTAAATTATATTAAGTGATGATTCATTAGTGCAATAGTAAGTAAACAGAGAATAAAAGAAAAATTAAAAACAAGTGATTAGCAAGTAATTGTATATACATATATATATATATATATATATATATATATATATATATATATATATGTATATATAACAAGTAATATATATACATATATATATATATATATATATATATATATATATATATATATATATATATATATATATATATATATATATAT